CTGATTGTGATACCAGCTTCAAACAAGTTGTTTTCTACCTAAACCTAATCAAACCTTAATCACTGCAGCAGTGCAAACACTTGTGTGTATTGTTTTGAAAGGTAATGACAAAAATCACATTTTTAAATTAATTTATTAGGATTTATAAAGAAAAGAGAAGAAATTCCATTTCCGCCTAAAGAGTCAAAAAGAAAGTTGTACCATGAAAGAAGCACAATGTAGGGTTTACAACGGGGCTTGTACCACAAGTCCAATACAGTAAGTGTAATATTAGTTCTTTGTACTGTTTTCAGTCCCAGAGAAGCCATGTGGTGCGGGGGTGGAGATGAAGGTTGGTGGATAAGGCAGCTTGGAGGATGAGTGGGGTTCATGGGGTCAGATTGGGCAGCTGGAGCATCTTTTTTCATTTCCAATTGTTTTAGTTTTTTTGTTTTCCACAACTTCATACTGATGGTTGACCTGTTTGGAAAAGACACAACATAAGGTGGGTAGTTTTAGTTTTCTTTTGTTTTCTACAATACTGAGAAAATATTGAGACAGCTTTCAATTATACATATTAAAAGCTCATTTATGGTGCAGATGAGCCTGTGCAAAGCTTTTCATATGGTTACTTACTTAAAAATAGGTCTACCCTGCCTGTGAACATTTTGTTGGCATGTTCAGCATCCCCATTACATAATAGAACACATAATCCACAAAATTGCATTTCCTACAAAACCAATTTGCTGTTATAGTTTAATTGTTAATTTCTAGGAGCAGGGTTGCCCTCATATCGAGCTCAAACTGTAATACCCATGAAATGTCAGCATGTGATTTTGTACAGTTTGGCTGCCTGAAGGGCTGACTGACTGCTTACATACCTTGAATGGTTCCTCTACGTGAGAAATCGGCCCACGCAGTGACTCTGGCTGTAAAAGGTGCCCTTTCAGTAATGCAACAGAAACCTGAAGTTTGAAGGAGTACTTCTATGAACACACAATCTGGCTGGGACTCTAGAGTGTGTGGGCTGGGCCTGGTCACACATTAAGTGAGCCTATAATGTGGATCCAAGCAGGGACATGAAATACAGTAATCCATGCCACTCAGATCAGGTGATCATCAGTTGCCACCTCCCACTGTCTCACATGATTGAACTGAGCTTTATACATCTGCCCTTTTCTGGCCATTGCTGCACTGCAAGCTGAAATGCACTAACACATACAGTATATAAGTAACTGGAAGAAAGAAAAATAACATTTAAAAAGAAGTACTCAGCTCAACAAGGATGGTGTTCACAGGTTTTACATAGAGACCTTTTATACAGACATAACATGTAGACCTAGTTTTTTAAGGGTTTGGATTGTTTTATAAAACTGTATTGTGCATTTTTATTTTCAGTTTTATGAATTATTCTTTTGATTTGAAAGATTTTAGGACAGAGAAAAGAGCAACTTTGATTATAGACACACTGATTGACTGACTGATGCTATTAGTTCTTTTAATATTTAACCTCTAGAGTCCCTGCGTCCTCATATGAGGACCGCACAGCTTGGGTTTCCAAAGCTCAGGACTCTAGAGGTTAACACTATCTGTAAAAAAATGACTAACAAGAAATCTTCAAAATGAGAAAACACATTAACACAGTAGAAAGTGTGTTGTGGAAGTGGGTATTAGTTATTAGCTGTAATGGATTCTCACATTTTGTTGTGGCTTACAGTGTGAGAATATAATGATCACTTTGTATTGTCCTCTCTGTGGCACTTTGGTAACATGGCAAACTGTATATTGCTGTCATAAATTCAGCAACATTCCCCTGCATCACTCTGTCTCCTTTCCTTTCTCTTTACATCTTTCTCTCCCTCCCCAACATAGTTTATGTACTGATGCTCATTATGACTGTTGTTATGACAGCCTTCTTTGCACTTACATGCACACAGCAGCTGCAGTTATTCTGATGATTTACAACCCCCTCCTCCAGAGAGAAAAAGAGAGAGGCACATTATACGTGTCTTTGAGGAGAGATTTTGTTCGCAGTGAAATAATCACAATGGCGCCTTCACTGGGTCCATCCCACAAACTTCCTCAAGTAGATAGGCCCGCAATAATAGGCTTTCAGGGATGACAGTGGAAACATTCACTCATTTTAATGACTGTGCCCCATGTCACATACTGTTGCACCCTCCTAACTTCTACATGACTGTTAGTTTTTTCTAACATTGCTCAGCCAGTTGAGACTACTCCAGATTCAAACGGTGGACTGTATGATAGGAAAATGGTCCATATGACAACATGGCTGATTGCTTAATAGTAAAAAAAGATGATCTTGTACTGTATTTAATGTCTGCTGTTACATATTGCAAAGCTGTTCGCCTACATTCTGTAGTGCCAAGTAAACATCACAGTAATATTGCTTTCTTTTGTCTGCATTCAATCCAGGCTGTGATCACTGAAACCCAGCAAAAACACACTACAATGTTGTAGATCCACATTCAAGGTCAAGGTCAAGGGTTTATTGTCATATTCAGAGTGAGGAAACGTGTTTCCCTGTACAATGAAATTGTTACTTTGCTGTCCACACGAATTCCACACAATATAAGTGAAATATAATGCAGATACAAGGTTAACAGAATCTAAATCTCAAAATCTAAGGCACTGTAAAACAGCCAATGAGAGAGGCATAATGAAAATACAACAAGAACACAGTATAACGAAGAGAGAATGTCTGCTACATGGGAGCTATGTGATGATGAGTTCTCTCCTGCTTCATGTTGAAAATGCATTGATATACACATGCACACACAGGACACAGTCACATTGTTATTAAGATATTTAGTGTGTTTCATGATGTGCTGTGTCCATAGAAGGCGTGTACTGAGACTGCCGATGTACAGGCATTTTCATTGTCCATGTTTCTGATAAGGCATGAAGAAATATTATGTGTGTGTGGGTGCATGTGCATGTGTGCCTCTGCTGGGACTGAAACTTGTTTACACACACACATTGTGCTCACTCATCCTTATGGGGAACAGATGCTGAATTTTAAACAAAGATTTGGTTTTGTGTTAGGTTATGTGTTAGTCTTAGGTTATGTGTTGGGATAAGGGTTAGGATTAAGTAAGTGGTGGTTATGGTTAAGGTAAGTCCCCAGGAAATAAATGTACTGTAAGTCAATGTGACACAGAATGAAAACAAATGTTGAAGAGAGATAGAAAATCCTCCCTGATGTTTCATTCATCACAGTAATCCCTCTTGTTTGATGGTGTGTACTGATGAGTGCAGAAGAGATAGTTTAGGATGACATGGCAACAAGCATCTCTTCAGCCACACGTGTTATGGTGCACCGCATGCCAAAGAGCAGAATGTGATCTGTTACATAACCATCGACCAGGGACAGAAGTGTTGGGAAGACAGCACCTGCAGCCAAGAATCTACTGTACCAGTGTAAAGCCATGCAGATGTAGGAATCTACAGTTATTTGTAGGGTGATTTTTTTTTTTTTAAGTGAGGGGAAAATACTGCCTCCAATTTAGAGCATCTACTTTTCTATTGTATGCAGAATCCAGAATGCAGTCTTCCAGCATTTTTCTTCAAACCATCCTAAATAGGGCATTCCAATTTTAAATATTTGGAAAAAGGCTGTCAAAATGAAAGTTTCAATGTACTGTCCTTGGACTTATTCAAATCATTCATTTCCCAATTTTAAATCCAATGACAGTGTAGTGCTGAATGCTAGAAGTGCCACTATTTGTGCCTTTGAAAAACCCAGTTCTCAACCTCTTGCTTGTCAGCACCCCAATGCTAATAAGGTACAAACAATATAAAAATGACAAAACCTATTTAGGTCAAACAAAAACTTCACAGAGAAAATCTGCTCTTGTTTTCCTGACTCCATCCAGTCAGTATCCAAGCCTCCAGTTCCCAAGGTGCTGTGGGATGTCATATCTGTAGCTGACAGGCATATTCAAAAATGCATGTTTAGCTTCTTCGCCAGGAAGTGGATGCGCCAGTCATGACAAAAGCTCCCTGAGACAGCATGTTTATTTAACTTAGTTTTATGTGGATGATTGGTAGGTTTCTTACTCCAGTGAGCTACATGAGCATCGACTGCTGGCTTGACTGTTTCATCATATCTTAGATTTACCATCAGGGAATTTTTACTGCAAGTTAACTTCCTCTATTTGCATGTTTCATATCATAAAAATATCAGTTGTACATACATTTCTCAAGTTGTACCAACAGAACTTGTGCACTGTAAACTATACAGATGTATGTCCAACACAATTTGATGTCTGATTTTATGTAAAGCAGACATGTACAGTCCCTTAAAGGCTGTGTGCTGTCTGTGCACAACTTGATGTGATCTGAGAGGAGGGTTTACCATTTTAGTTTTAGGATGAATGAACAGAAGTAAATGGTTGAACATGTTATGCAAGTCCAACACAGTGAGCTCATTTCACATGCAGTACTTCATCCCAGACAGGCAGCTGCTGTCAAACCAAATAGAGCATATAGGTTGTTTATGAGGTTATTTTCATTAGTCTAGAACATGTGGTCTCTCTTGCATATGAGTGTCACATACACACAAAAAGACTCAAACACACACGGTAAGCCAACTGAGCAAGCCATACACATATGGTGCAGCCCTTTATCATACATTAACAAAGCCAAACAGACACACAAACTCCAAATCTTAGCCATCTGTCTGTGTCTGTCTCTCTTCCCCTCTCTGACACATACACTCTCTTTCACTCTGTCAGTCTTGGCCTCATGTTTTTGTGAACTGAAGGTTCTTCCTATTGCTTTGTACTGAGACTTTTTTTGCTCTGTACTGCAACTGTTCCGTTTGCTTTTAAGTGAACTTCAACCAATATTGAAGCCTAATCTGGGTTAATCTCAGTGTTTGCAGGGGGATAAGTATTGCTGAGCAGCTGTGTAACATGGTTTACTTTTTGGAATAACCATCTCTTTTCTTTCTCTGTCTATGTTTTCTCCTCCTTTGCTCCCTCTCTGTGCACTCACAGGACTACACTTTGACCATGTACTTCCAGCAGGCCTGGCGAGACAAGCGACTGTCCTACTCTGAAATCCCCCTCAACCTGACCTTAGATAACCGAGTGGCTGACCAGCTCTGGGTCCCTGACACCTACTTCCTCAATGACAAGAAATCATTTGTCCATGGTGTCACAGTGAAAAACAGAATGATCCGGCTGCACCCGGACGGTACCGTACTGTATGGTCTGAGGTGAGATTTTAATCTCTTGAAATAACACTGTTGACTTCACAAGACCAAGGTTTTCAGTATTTCCATGTGTAAATAAACAGAAAAAACATATTTCCCTCATGCTGGACGAGTACAACACCAGATAATGATAGATTAAGATGCACAAATTGTAGTAATTTTCATTTCATGTCATCAAACACATCCGGCTTAATCTCTCATCAGTGTACTTTCTATTTTTGGAATCAAACAAATAACCTCGGAGAAAAGCATCTAAATTCAACCAAATTTATTATAACGAGACAATGATTGCTGCATTGGACTGAGTCAGTAATTAGCTCATTAGAACCAGATAGAAAACTACTGATGTGAGGTGCAACATGTCCACGAGTGAAATTATAATGTTAATGAAATGACCCGATTGTGTCCTTATTTACAGGTCACATGCACATCACAAACTAAAAGCAACCCTTTTACAAGTGTCTGCATAATTTAACCACTAAAGAATAGGTAGAGGTGTAAAGCCTTGCAGTTTCATTGAAATTAGATTAATATAAATTAAGTATTTGTGCTTTGTTCTGCTTTGTTTCACTGAATGAGAGACCAAAACCAACACCTGCCAGGGAAAGTTGCACTGCTAACATCAGTATGCAGACTAGATAGCTAATAGGTTAGTCAACCACTGCACACGCAACAGTTTAACAGCAAATCAACAACAACACTGACATTATGTTTTTTTTACTCCAAAACAGGATCACTAATTGTGATTTGTTGGACTTTGAATGTAATCTCATCAGATGACTGAAACATCCATTCTTCATTGTCATGCTTCCTACCAAAGAAAAATTTAAGAGCATACGGAAGTAAGTTTAACAGTCAAACATAGTATGATGGATGAGTTTCTTAGACAATAACAGCTTTCAACATTCAGAGAGAAAGCTACAAAGACTGGAGTGCAACTTTTTCAAAACATCAGGTGTGAATATTTCCCTAAGCTGAGATGTTTGCATATTTGATATGTTAATATGACATGTCCCACCTGTCTTCAAAATCCCTATCGTACTATGTACATTAATTGACCCATCCCACTGAGTTTCATCCTCTCAAAGTTAACATGATGACAGTGCACTTCTCTCTCCTCACTGATGTCTCATCAGTTCAGTTTGCAAATAGGCCTCTGATGCCCAAAGTCTATAAAAGGTTATTGGAAATTATAACATCTTAATGGCCATCGTGGCAGCACATTGGCAGCACATTGGCTGTGGGTGAGCGAAATTAAACAGAGAAAGCAAGAGACAAAGAGAGAGATGGGCATTGAGGGGGGATTAGAAAGAACTAAGGCCAAATAGTATTCATAAGTCCAAAGTGATTCAGAATTTACAAATCTTTATGTTTAGGAATGCACTTTATTGGCTTCACATAAAATTTGAAATACCTTGGTAAAAACCAAGTTCTACTGTAAACTATCGGTTTACTGACATAACAGTTCTTCTTGAGACTCTCCTCCTGTAAATACAACAGCATTCATTGTATTATTATGACAAACTGTTATGTGCTATAGTTTGGTGATATGTGACGACCATATTAATTAAGATCTAAGGAAAGGAGTGAGTAATGTCACAGGTTATATAGAGATACAAAGTCTGTCTAGATAGTTGGGGTGGATGGCTAGGTGCACAAAGCACAGTACTCTCTCTCAGGAAAGTTGAATTCACTTCCACTGTGTCATGTGTTTTTCAAGAGGTTTTAGCACCTAAAAGTGACCAACTAGTTTTTTTCCCCTAAACCTAACCAAGTAGTTTTTGTGAGTAAACCTAACCAAGTAGTTTGTGCCAAGACATAATGAAAACCTGACGGTTTCATAATCGTAACCTCATATTTATAAGACTTTTCAAGATGAAGGAGTTGCAGTAGCTTGCTGCTAGCCCTCCTGCTAGATAGCTATCGTGTTTATGGCTGTTTTGATGATGACAAAGGTCCTGAACAGACTGTACCCTGAATACTACTTACTAGGGCAACTCTAGTCCTATAGCAACTTTTTATATTCATTGAATTAGAATGATGCTTGATCATTGTGTCGAAGTGCTTCGCTCTTACTTCAGTGTCATTGTCTGTAACATCATAAGTCAACAAAATCATACAGAAAAAAAGATAGAGGCAGCAGCAGATTGTGAGGGTCAGATTACACTGAACTGGGACTCAGTGCAAATCTTCCATGTGTCAGGTCATTTGACTTAAAACAAATTTGCGTGTTAGATTCAGTAGTATCAACCCAACCACTGAATCCAGTATGCAAATGAAAAATCCATAATCACTTGGAGTAAGAGTTTGAACATTTGCCATGCACAGCTGAAGTTACACCAGAAAGTCAGTATAAATATTACTTTGGATGAAGCAGGATTAGATTGAAACTAGGAGAAGAAATCCGTCACCCTTGACATTCAATATCATATAAGTAAGATGACTCAATTTTTACAAATCTTAAATTGGGTCTTGGGATCTTACATGTCAATGACTGCTCATAAATTGATGCAGCACATCTAGATACAGCATACAGTTTAATTGTCTCCTCAAAGCCAGCTAAAATGTGTGCAGCTATTAGTTTATTATGCCAATAAATTAGATCTGACTGCATGAAACTTTAATGGGCCGCTGCAGAAGCAAGTAGTAAAATCATACAGAAAAAACATCAAACACAAATTATATTAGGGATTATGTTTATGATAATTCTTATTCTCTGACATATAAAGAATAAATATATGAATACAAATGCATACCAATATTAATATATGAAGTTTGTATTCTAACTCAGGGACAAAGTTAATGTTCATTTGTTGATATTAAGGAACAGTGAGACATTTTGGGAAATCTGTTAAGTGAGACGAAGCTTAGGCAAAGAGCTAAGCATCTGAGCTTTGAATATAAACTGGAAGCAGGGGAAACAGCTTGTGTGGCTCTGTCCAAAGTGCAAAAATACACCTACTGTAACAGCACATTTAAATCTTGCTAATTAATATGTAGTGTCTTGTTTGTTTAGTCCATACACAAACAGAAACAGCCGGACAGCGCCTTCCTGGAGGCTTGTCAACACTGTGAGGTTGCCAGACAGCCAGTAAAGATGCCACACAGATGGATAAACCGTCATCCATTAATGAATAGTTACAGCATGTAGCTCGATGATAAGCATTAAGTCACCTAAAGGAATAACTTCAGTGAATATTTTTCAGATTAGTTTCAATCAACAGCAACTAAACATAATAGTCTGTCATGGCAAAAAATTACAAGGAGAGACTGATAAGTATGACCAGCCACTTCTTATCACCTGTGGCCTGTGGCGATGCTAATGGTAAACTCTGCATCCCAGTTAACAGCTCCTTTGTTACAGAAATACAATACACATTCTTTAATGAGAAAATAGTGGCCACATTATCCATAAACAGTGTCTGCACTGTGAAAAGGAGCTTCTCATTGAGGTTGTTTATTAGAAATGTAATTGGATGCAGCAATAACATAGATGCTCATAATAGAGGAAGCCATACACAAAGAATGTGCAAACAGCTCATGAATATTTATACACACACTTACTGTATTTGCCACTGAACTGCCAATTCATCTCAGGGATTCATTATAGTAGTTATCAGCACCTTTTTCTGAGCTGATATGCACTCATTTGCACAAATCGTTTGACATGCAAACCAGTGTTCTTTGCCACACAGGCCCCCCACACTGATTGCCAAAACTAAATCTACCATTTCAAGGGAATTCTTTTAGCTATGAAGAAACAACAGCAAATAGAAGAAATTGACTTCAAGAAGAATAAATCAAATTATAACAAACTGCAATAGCGCCTCACTACATTTCTCAAGCAGGCTGAACCAGAGTAGGTACAGTACATATAAATCTGTACTGTCTTTGTCTTTTATTGGGATTATAAGCCTGAATATTCTTTGAATATTCTGACTCATTGAAACTGTAGTAAGACTGCATATAGTGCACATACACAAGAAATATCAGATTCTTACACAGCACTTTACTGCAAAGTAGTACATGAACAGTTACACACACACCAGTGATATCATTGGGGGCAACCTAGGGTTCAGTGTCTCCTGCCAAGTGCAGGTCAACATGTAGACAACAAGTTAATTATTTTTAACTACTAGATACAGTATAGTTGTGATGCATTGTTGTTAAGTGGTGTATTATACAATACAGGGCAGCAATACTTGTTTTTCTCTGGAAAAGTCAAATAACTACTGTTGTGATTAGTACTGTGGGCTGGGACCAGTATGATACATTGACTAAACAAATAATTAAAAAAAAGGGGCTTTCTTTGTTAAAGACCATCTTAAGTACAGTACTTGATACTGTATGTACATAGCACAGTAGTAGTTAATTTCCACAAAGCCTGTCTGTTGCAAGTACAGGAGCAACAGTGAACATATTCACGGTGACTGCTGGAAACCCTTAAGACTACTTTGCCCTGATTTGGCCTTGTAAGTTTGATCCATCCAGGAGCAGAGACTTTGAGAGCTGTCTGGTAAATATGGAGGTGATGCAACATATGGGGCTCAGTTGGTGTAGTTGGCAGTGTCCTTAGGCAGTAACTAAGCAACCGAAGACAATAAGCAACTAAGTGAGAAATGCAGCTGAGGATCATTTAATGGATGGGATAAGCAGGAAAGTTTATGAGGGTAAACAAAGAGCCAGATAGCTGCAAAAAGGCACATCCACAGAGTGACAGCAACATAACAAACACAAATACACACACACCCACACAACCCCTCATGCATAACCTTTACCTTTCCTACGCAGTCTTTTCAAAAACTCTGCCATAGGCTTTTGCTCTCAGTTCTGAACCACTGACTCCATCTTGACACGGAGATCAGAAAGTTGCCAGCAATTTACTCCTTGGTTAAACACTTGGAAGCCACACAGCCCCATCACCAGCAGCAAATCACAGAGAAATAACTGCTGACAAATGCTGGGGACAAGAGAGAAAGAAACGGAGAATCCATCTAAACCACTTAGGCTCAAGCAACTTTACTTTCTCACTCTGGGGGAGGAAATCCCTGTGGTGTGTAATATGAAACAGCATGTTAATGCTAGACCTCTTCCCTTTGAACTCCGTTACTGCTGTTAAAAAGTGTTGCTATGGATAGTTCCCTCTCTATCTCTCCTGACATCCACTGTCCTCAAACCTTCTCTCATATTCTTTTTATCATTTCACATCTGTGGGCTCTTTTGCCCTACTGCGCTCCCTTCATGTGGGTATTTAAAGAACCACAAGTCTGGCAGTTTGTCAGTAATATTATAATAACTAATAAAAGGACTTTGGTCAGAATTTGTTCTAAAGAAACCAATGTGACTATTGCTAGGAAAAGGAACATGAAGTTGTTGAAGCCAGATGCTTTGTAGTGAAGGTAAACATAAGGTGTTTGAACAAATGATTGTTATTGTTTGACTGCAAGAAGTTGCTTGCCAAGAAAATACAAACATTGCTTTAATGCCATTTAATGACCAGTATAATGACCAATATTTTACCCTTTGGGAGTCTTAATTGCCTCATATGGTAAACTGTATATTGCCAGTACATCAACCAGGGCCTACTGCTTTTGCTTTTTTATAGAGGAGTAACGCCAGCCAAATCAGAATCAAGATAACTGGTGCAGTGCAAAACTGTGATGGCCACAGAACTCAAAAGAATTAGTGCAGTAGGTGAAAGGCATAAATGACAGGTAAATGAAGCTACACTGAGAATGACTTGAACCCCCAGATGCAAGGATGAACGTTTACTCTAATATTTCAATCATGTGGGAAGTGTGGGAACGTTTTTCTTACAGTTTTAGACTCTTCAACTGACAGTCTCTACCAAAATGTATCATTTCGACACCTTTAGACTCAACCTGCTGAAATAACTGTCCTCCCATTCATTGCAGTGCAGACATGGTCATATAATAGTCATGCTAATCATGTAGTTCACCTCAAAATAGATACCATTTGCTGTACTACTCATTCTGCTGTATGCCAAGTAAAATGTAAACCCATGATATGTGGCAAAAGATGTCTTGTTATTGGTCTTGCATGTCTACTGTATACTCGCAATGTCATTGTTGTGGCATCAGCACACTTGGGTTATGAGACAAGATCTGATAGATTGTTGGACATTTTTTGCCTGCTTTGGAACTGAATTCTGGCCAGGTGTATTTTTGTAGAGGAGGCTAACAGGGACCACTGCAACATAACTAACAATTTGGAAGAAAGGAATAGTGAAAGAGAGAAAGGCACAGAAAAAGACACAAGGGTGATTATGTCTGCTGTGTAACACAGAGGCCTGGACTCAAGATGAGCCTCTCCTCTGGCACAAATTTATCTGTGCTGTCAGGTGTTCATAGATGATTACCCACCAGGCTGTGCTGCTCTGTGGCAACTCCCGCAGTCGGGCTCTGTGGGAATTCTAACACAAGACCAGAGCCAGGGAAAGAATGGCAGCCTGCTACTCACAGCCTCGTCCGCACTGTATGTTCTTTTCACAAAGTCTTTTGGACAACACACCCTTATCTACTGATTCATGGTCGGTTGCTGTTCCATTCCATCCTCTGTTGTCTGTTTATTTTGATAGCAACTGGGGGCTAAATGTTATTATTCTGATATGTGTAGCTCACTGGCCACTACTGTATGCATCAATTAAAAGCCTTTACCATGCTAGAACATTTCTTTTAGAAATTGGGTTTCTGAACAAACATGTCATAAATAATCCACATTTAAACTGCTTTTTTCATTTGCAATTAATTTCTTGCAATCCATGTAATTGGTTTAAAATACATCATAAGTTAGAATTGAAGTCAAAGTTTCTCTGCCAAACTACCAAAGACATAATACTGTTGTGTCTAATTACTGATTCTACAGTTTTATTGATTGTTTTTCTCAGCACACGCTACAGAACCAGGTGCAGGATTGCAAATTTGTAGCATTTCAGGTGCTGCGGTTTCAGTGCTAGAACCCTTTTCAGTCTGCTACAGGATAGCATGATTTACATTTGTCATTTAAAATACTTCCTTAGAGGAAACTTGTTAACTGAATGATGACTTTGAGACCTTTTTTTAATGAACAGTGTCGGGGTGAAATAGTTACCAGTGTCTTAGAGGCCTATTGCATTGGTCCCATGTTATACACAATAAAAACAGCTCCCTTTGTCCAGGGAGGAACATTTACTGGCTTATTTATGTGTATGATACATAATATATTCTCTGAATGCTACTGTTATTAAGCTTCATTGGTGTCTTGAGATGCAGAAGGAAGATAATTTCATTATCTTAAAGATCAGCACCTCAGGATAAATCACAGCTTATATTTCCAGTGTTCTTGTTGTTGTGCCAGCTCCAAATATACATCTTCCTCTCAAGTGACACTATCAGTGCAGACACACTGGTGGTAGAATTGGTGCTAAGGTAGAGTAGGCTGCGGTAGCATGGCTAACCAAAACACAGTGGAAACTCAAGGGCTGGAAACGTGAATGAAGCCACTCACACCAGTTTGTCACAACATGGCCATATAGTACACGCCTACAACACCCCCCTGCGACCCCTCAACCCCCAGTGCATAAAAACACAGGAGGGAGTTGCATTTTTTGCCGGACCAATGTGAATGTACTGTCAATTTTTCATCGCACTCCGTCATACTGGCTACTGCTCCGGTTCTGTTATGTACTGATAACGCAAGACAAATATCATCACGTTTTATTGTTGTGACATCTTGTCGCATCCCTAATGTTCACAAATCAAAGCAGTGTCAGTATCAAATCAGCAGCGAGAAGGATAGACACATAAAATAAAATCTCTGTGGAAACTGAGGAAACATAAGGAAGGTAACCTTAGATTTTGAAGTGACCTCATTGTATATATATTGTATATTGTATGTATTATATATATTGTATTGTTGTATACACAGTATACAACAATACTGAATACATTCCTATGCATTTCACTAAAATGATTCAAAATTGAACCATATTAAAAATACATATTAATGAAATAAAATATGCCAAGTATGTCCCCTAACCTTTGAGTACTTTAAAGCAGATATTAGAGCAATAAAACCCCTCCAGCAAAAAGCAGCTGAAAAGAAACATTTATTACATGAAGAAAGGCAGAACATCTTTTAAGAGATTTATGCAAGACTAGTATCATCCATGTCCAAGAGTCCTAAAACCTGCCATCCAAAATAAAGGTGGACATAAAAACTATTATAAAAATAGAAGAACAGATTCTCACCTATGGAGAGTGCGCTGACCTTTGTTGCAGTAGGTTTCTAAATGTCTTTCATACACTGTACAGCTTTCATTATAGTGCAATTAGCTAAATTAATTAGCTTCATTCTTCTTGGACTAAACTTAATACTTTTCAATGAAAATGGTCAAGTTAATTCTCAATGCGAAATATGTATTTTCTTTTTCTTCCAGTTTTGCTTCTTCCTGTCTTCCTGTAGTAAGAGCAGTAGTAGTATCATGCAACATAAGCGATAATCTTGACTTTCACTTAGTATGGTCAGGTTGTAATACAAATTTAATGAGGTTGTGGTTTGCACATGTCAGACTACAAACACTGTGACTGTTATCTCTGGCCTGATGCTATCACCACTGTCCCACAGGGTTTGATCAGTGCAGTGACTCGTGTCTTAGGTGGGGGCCTAACAGAAGACTCACAGGATTATCCAAACAATGTTAAGACTGGGACATAAGGATTAGCTTTTGCTCTGTAATCCCCAGCGGAGTTCCCGACCACTCCAAACTCATAGGTGCATTTACTGTACCTGTAGAGCTTTTGAAGATTTGTAGTTTTGTTTAGTTACTTGTGGTCACATGGGTAGTACAGATGATCATCAAAATACTCACATTTTGCACTCAATTTAGTTTTCATAGTGGCCCACATTGCACACTGTAGTGGCATATGGACACTTACAGAGAAAGGGGAGAATGACAAAAAAAAAACAACCGCCAAATACTGTAAAATGCCAAACTTCAGTGTCTACTCAGGACTTTGTTTGGTCCTAGGCACTGCATACAGTAGAACAATTCTGTAAACTGTAAGTGATATCCAGTGCTGATTATCTATCAGATCACTAGCAGCCTATACATTATCAATGAGATATGCTATTACATGTGTCCACACACACAGACAAGAAAAGATACTGAAAAATACAAACTTCCAGTTTCCTGTCAAATTCTACCACAATGCAGAGAAATGAGCTTGTCACTGTGTCATGTTATTTCAGGATTACAACCACTGCCGCTTGTATGATGGACCTAAGAAGATACCCACTGGATGAGCAAAACTGTACACTCGAGATAGAGAGTTGTGAGTAATTCCTTGCTTTATTCATTATTTATTGTCTTTTGTCATTTATTGATATTTTGTTTCTTGTCAGTGCTGAATAATAAAAATCTCTTATTTCCCACTAAGTGTTACTTTTGTGCAGCTTAGTTTTGGCTAGCTCTAGCATTATGCTGTATTGTTTTCAGTCTGTAAGGCTTGCATAGCCTCAGGTTTGACCAGTCATTTTAAGCTTTCTGGTTGTACATGATATACTCACAATTTTAATATTAATATTTAATAATCCTTCCCATCTCATTTAACCTTCTTCCCATCTCAAATTCTTAATTATACCCTCTGTTGAGTTTGCTCTTCTAGAGAAAATGTATTGTGTCATTTCAGATAAATATGGAGTAGTGATGGTAGACCGCACATTGGGGCTTCAAACCGTGTGTCGAGTCTGGGGCAGTGGAAAGTGAACTTTTGTATCAAGGCTTGTACTAGTCAGAGAATGTGATGATTGAAGTGTCATGTAGGCTACTGGTTCATAAGTGCTTCAAGGTTTGCAGGATATTTGAGATATAAGGGGCAGAGGTGGGAATCACAAAGCTCATGAGTTTGTAGTATCGGAGATCATTGTAGTTTGATGGTTTGCATTATTGTGCCCTGGTATGAACCCCAAAAAGGACATTTTCCCAAGTGTTATATCAATTTAATTTCTCCCAACAAGGTAAATCATATGCATATTACACTGTCATTTTAATAACCCAGTACTTCCTTAATAACCTTATCCAGTGATTTTCTCTCTCCTCTAAAGGTTAGAATAAAGCCTGGAATTTTTTCTACATTAGACTTTGAGTACACCTTCAAAGCCATTTTACAAAATGTTCTGTTCCCAGACACAGGCCAGGAGACTGTTACAAATAGATCTGTGAGAGTATGGTTACAGGAATGCATGAAGACTCCACTGTAAGGTAGTCAGCTAATGGACCAAAATGTGTTTGATCAGACTCAAATGTATTGTGGACTTCATGAAAATTATAACATCTGATGCAAACTGTTTGCTGGGTATCAGGCACTGACCAAAACACTCATGTTCTCAATAGAAACACAGAGGCCAAGATATTCAAGATACTGTAGGTGTGTTTAGGTCGGCAGGAGAAATGTTCACAGAAACTGAAAAGGGAAATTTAGGATGGGGAGAGCACCAACAGAGAGAGAATTAACATCAAGCTGTGCCAGATTAGTGTGAAAGAGATGCTGAATGGGGTTTGAAACATTTTGTGTATAAACTGTTTGGCTAAACCAGCAGGGAGTGGCCCAACTAAACCTGTTTTTCAGCAGGTATGAGAAGCCCACCTACACAGCCCTCTCACTCTCTTTTTCTGGTGACGAATTTTGCACAAATGTCCACCTAATGTACGATGAACTGATTCGATTTTAGTGGTCACTGGCACCTCACGTCAATCCCACTTGTGGGAACCTAACATCTCAGGAACACCTTAAAGGGATTTTTTCAAATTTGGCACAAATGTCTATTTGGACTTAAGGATGTATTAGTTTGGTGGTTGAAGGTCAAAGGTGAAGGCCAGGAACCTCACTTCTGTCCCATTTCCATGAATTTGGCTGATTTGTGGAGGCATACAACTAATTTCCTTTTATCTTAAATATGTTTTACTCACGCAGTACTTTTACTATACATGGAAAAACAATTCATAGAGGAAGAGAACAAAAAACCACCAATGCATCATTTTCCCTTTGTCACATGTTAAAACTCCACAATTGCACATAAATTGACAATGGAAAGTATCAAAGCAGTAGTGTGCTTATACTGTCATTGAGAGAATGACCTTAATGCCAACACAGCTACACACAAGACTTACAGCTTGTCATCTATAGTTTCTACTGCCAAGGGGACCAGCAAGCAAAAATCCCTTAATCAAACCTAATAGGGAAACTGGTGTGCCGCTGGTAAGATATGGCAGAGCTTGTAACTGTAAATGGTACCGCATACTGTGCAGTGTCCATACTTGTTTGATCATAGTTCAGGGAATGATGGCATGCAAGTGAGGGGGAAACAGAAAGGGACACTGGCTGTTTACAAATGAGTGTGCCTCAAACGCAGCTAGTCATGAGCACCCTGAACACATATCCTTCTCTTTTAATTTGGTGACAGGCTTTTTCCCACTACGTTTAAAACATGCTGGCAGGGGAGTATCACTTTGTGTGTGTGTGTGTGTGTGTGGGTGGGTGCATGTGTGCACGCACACTTGAAAATATTATGTGCCTGGCAGACAAACTGACAAACAAACAAAACACAAGCACACACATTTTCTCTTTTATTTCATCTGAGTCTTCAGGGGTGAAGGGCTCATGGAGCAGCAGTATGAAGGGTATCTCAGTTGTTGTAGGTCTAACGTTGCCACCAATGGGGTGCATGGTTGATTTTTATGCAGCTTTGCTCTTCTCTTTAAATCCTTGAGTGTGACTGTTTTTTCTCATTATCCTGGTCTCCACTTGTTTCTGTCCCTCTGTATTCTCCATCTTTCTGCCATCTGCCTTTGCTTCTTTCACGTATTTGCTAGTGTCATACTTTCATACTCAGCTCTATTTTCGTAAGTTGGCTTGTTTTCCATGAGTTTGATGGATCTAGCATCTCTTAATATCTCTGGAGTTGAGCCACTGAGTGGTGCCTGATGCAAACCTGGTTTCACTAACCCCGATTCAGCAGATGATCTACAGTACTCCAATATCACGAGCAGAGCAACGGAAAAACTGTACACAGCACCACAGTGGGTGTGGATCCTTCAGAACAGGAGTCACCTTGTGTTTAGACTTGAAGAGGGGTGTGAACCACACAGCTGAGGTCGGGGCAGACAATACTGTAATCTGTAATGCAGTTACTACTCCAAGGACTTAAATGCGCTATAGTTACTGGCATAAATTTATTAGGAGGCTTTATAAATATGGGTGTAATACCACAGTACCGCGGCCTCATGTTCAGCAGTAGTGGATGAGGGTTGGGTTTATACCAGGCCATGCCCTGTCACCCTGCATTTGTTTTGTTGTTATCTGCTCAGCATCTAACATATGCGTAGGCCCCACAAGATTTTAGAACAAATTTCCTGCATTATTCAAAACAGCTAATGTTCTGGGTCACTATAATATTAATGCAGTAATAATGTACAATATATATAGTACTGTACAGTAGCCATACTTTTATTCTAGTAAAAGGTGTGACATTGCCTTCACAAATACAGCAGTTGTGTACCTTTTCAGTAAATCATAACAAGAGTAGGGACACTACGCTCTTAAACATTGAATTCTACCCAGATACACTTTTGGCCTGATGAACTGCTCTGGCATATGTGTCAGTGTACAGTAGGTGGCTCTTTAGTAGACAGCAAAAGTGGGAATTACAGTAAGCTGCTTAAACACACATACACACAGAGAGACAGTGAGAGAGAATGGCATCTGAAACTGAACAAACTTGCAGCCAACAATACACTCACATCCTCACACATATACATGTTAAAACAGATGAACACATTCCTGTTTATCTCTGTATAGACCAAGCAGGGAGAGAAGGGGACATTATGGCTGTTATTTCACGCAGCTGCCGTGCACTCACATTGAAACTATCATCTCATTACAGCATCTCTACCAGCTAATAGTTATATTTTCTGCACCAGCGAGCCACATCATATGGACAGAGCCACTTCCACTCTCTGTCTCTCTCTTGCTATCTGTGCCCATCAGAGCCCATTTTTGGAAGCTGCACACATCCTCTGGGGTGTGAACGGTTTATACACTTGGGCTTGCATGGCTTATATATTTCTCTTTTCTTCGGATGTTCCGTCCCTATCCAGGCATGTAGTCAGCTGAAGCTTGCTGCGCAAAAATTTGAAGATATTTTAATTGGACACCAGGAATAGCTTTGAAGTCACTTGGAACTGCGTGGAATCAAAAATTCATCGGAGACATATTTAAGAGTGGTGAGGCCTTCTCAGCTCACAGGGTACAGCTAGAGGCAACGGTTGTTCAGGGGTTTGATTTGACATGCTCATTTGTGTTTGCATGTGTGTGTTGTTTTTGTCTGTTGGCTTAGTTTTCAGTGGACACTATTTATCATGCTATACACACACTCCCCTACACTTCGTGTGTGCTTCCTGGGCTAATTTAAAGGCTTGTTTGGTGGTGCAGCATCACAAATTGCCAATGTTGCTATTTACGAGGAATACATTAGGGACTTGTGGCATGTTTTGATTATAAGGTGCTGTTCTGTGACATGATTTGTTAACACTGTATGCATAAAAAGCCATCTTTTCTAATTACAGATGTGCAGAAAACTGGATAAAAGGATTTTTGTGATTGTTTTTGGTGTTTTTACATGGCCTTTAAACTTTATGCCTGAGTAACAAGTGTGTTATGTTTTACATTGTAGAAACTGTGCTATTTTCAAAGTTTTATTAGAGGTATACAATGTTTGAGAGTACAATTTAGGAGTATAAAAACATTGTTATCCCTAGTTATATTTTGCCCAGAGTAATATCAAAGCCAGTGTTTTATCTCCCTCCAAAATTCTACTTTACCCAGTAACACAAACCAGCTGAGACATTATTTCATAAGCTTAATGAAAAGGCCTGGAGTAAGATGTGGTCAGGGAGATATGCCAGAATTCCCGTTAAATAGCTATAGTATTGTTGTGCTATCTCCTCCGATGCTATCGTGAACAATTTCATTTATTTTTGGCCTGCCAGTGCTCCCAGACTTTGGAAACCAAGAGAGAAGCCTTTGTGCTAGCATAAAGTATGTATTGTCGCACCCATATATTTTATTATTTTTCTTCTTTTCTTTTTTACACTGAATGCTTGAGTTTGTATCTCATACCACTGAGGAATGAAAGCACTAATTCCGTTTTTTTTACATTTCATCGTTTCATAGTTAACAGATTTACTCTCTCTCATCTGTGATATATGGCAGATCGTGTCTTTTCTCTCCCATTTCTTTTCTCACTTTCACTGTCTTTACCCTTTTCAGGTAATTTCATGCAGCATGGGAATGAGGACGATCTATCTGTGACAGACACTGCAACATAACCTCAGTATGAAAGCAAGGCATGGGTGTTAGTGCTGTGTTTTGGCACTTGCACATGACAAACACAAACTATTCCTATACAATTTATTACAGACAAACTATAAAAATGTTAGGTAGAACTAACAAAATATCAATGATGTCGACTCTTCTGCACTATGCTTATAATAAAAAGCTTGTCATGAATTTGTAAAAATCAAAAGTTTCAGTCCATTGGGGTCATGAATGTACAAAGCAAGCTACCAGGCAAATATATTATTAGTAATTTTGATATTCTGGTGTCCTGTGGTGCAAAAGGAAAACTCATTACAGTGGAAAGGGTTTATTTTCTATGAAGAATGACTTGTAAATTTTAACTGAATTTCGCTTCCATTTTGATGTATGGTGTAAACCGTTAGAAGGCGTATCAGTGGAAAAATTTTGCTTTCATCCTGAGGGACTGAACATATTGACTCAAATTTAAATTTGGAGCCTCCGGAGGTTATTCAGTCATGGTTTTACCATTTAAGAAATGTATCCAAAATTATTTCTGTCTGCCCCTGACCTGCCTTTATTTCATCTCATCTCAACTAATATAATTTCCTTGTACTCTGCACTTAGTAGAGAAGCACTTAATCGTCTGCAGTTGGTTCAAAATACAGCTGCCAGGCTTTTTACTGGAGCTGAGGGGATAGAACACAATCTCACTGTACCATCTCTCCTTCAGTTACTTACAGCTATTTCCTCTGGAATACATTGTGAGATATTATTCATCACCTCTTGTGTGAGGTGATGATAAACATGACTACCCAAACTATATTGTACATGAATGTTTTGGAAATATTTTATTCATGAGAATGAAGAAAGGGCAGAGTATTTGAACACAGTAAGCACCCAGCTCCACTTTCGCCCAGAGGAAAAAGAGATGTCAAAAGTGAGGATGTTGAAAGTAGCCACTGCAGGCTGCTTTAATAATTCAGAACAACTAAATAGGTCACACGTGTATTAATTAAGGAGAGCAGGGCTATGCTGAGAGAGAAGAAGAGGGATGGTAGAGTGTAAAATATATGGATACACAATAGCTGTTACAACAGAGAAATAACAGGAGAAGGAGAGGAGTGTAATCAAATAAGAAAAAGTGGTGGGAGAAAGGAAGATAAAATCAGAACAATTTGGAAAAGAACTAGGGAGAAAAGGAGATAAGCACAGTGGAGGTACAATAAAGAAGAAAGGAGGTGTGGCACAATTTTATGCACTAATCAATTAACAGTACTGGTGGGAGTTCCCTCTAAATTGTGTTAAATATGCTTTCATTCATCATCCAGCCCAGCTCTGTCATCACTGCCTTACAACACACATACTGTACATACTCGTGTAAATCAAACATGTTAATTCACTTTCTAGCTGCTAAATCTCCCCATTGTCAACACTGGTAAAGTAACAGTCAAGCACAAAGTCAACATCCACACGTGCAATCAAATTTAGCAATAATCGCTCAGGCGAACTCAACAAACATGCCTGCAAATCCCTATTGTAACAAACATGCTGTGTTAACAAGTTGCAACCATCAAATGATTATTAAGCTGCATGTTGGGTATCTAAAGAACATTCACGATTGTTGTTTAATCTCCTGCTGTTACCTGGCATGGCATGCTACATATGCAAGTTGAAAGAGATTGAATGTTTTCTTCTCTTTCAGTTTTATGATGTAATGTAAGACTAAAATATTTACTGTAGTTATTTGTCTCGAGGCAGCAAGTCTTGGCCTCCTCCCTCACAGCTGAGCGAGTTCACACTTCGATACACCCATCATGAAGAATCATCAGAACTCTGAGATACCCCAACATTGCTAGCTTGCTATGTCCAAAACATAGCATCAGAAATGTGTTGCATTATCAAAGATTTTCCATCACTTCTCAACCATCCTGGGTATTAGACACATGCACACAAGTTCACACTACAGGTATCTTTTTGTATATTGCTTTGTAAATTGCTGTTTTCATTTACTTTCATGTAGTTGTAGCAGACTTTCAGTGGTGAGCCACCCTTCTAAAAAAAATGCACTAACGCCAGCTGTCTAGTGCCTTTTCTCATCTCCTCATCTCCTTCCTCTCTTCTCTCTCCTCTCATGTCAGCAGACATGACCACTGCACCAGAGCCGACAGGGGGTAGTGGATTATGCAAGAGTAAAGTTTCATGGCCTAATAAAAATTTCCTACTTCTTGCCTTTTAAGCCAGTGCTTGTCTTCAGCTATAACTACAGAGCACCATGTTACTCAGGCTTTTATCTTCACTGTCCCTCTCTCCACTGATTGGGCCAAAACGAGACCAAAAGCTTTGGTTGACATTAATATTAACGAGCTTGCTTTTTATTCCTTTGCAGAATTTATTGGGTTTTAGTGTTAAAATTGAAGCCAAGCCAAGTTATTGAATCATTTTTGCTCTTGGTGTTATTCATTTTGTTTCTCATGGGACAAAACAAAGTCAACTCTCAGTAATATAAATAAGCTACAAAATGGAAGATTGTATACTTGACTTTTTCATCATTTATAGTTTTAATGGGCTTTATAATATTTAAGTTATTGCCAAGAATACAGTACCAAGACATCAGCATGTGCCTTGCTCGATGTCTTTGTACACGGCATGAGCTGTATAACTGTGTGAGTTCTCATGAATTAAGGTTAAACAAAAATTGGTTAATAAAATTTATCCTTTGTCCTGAGTGTTTCTAAGGTTGCATCATGTTGATGAGGGGTCAAGAAGAGTGAAGAGCACACAAGTGGATCATTGTGAATAGCTGAAAAAAAACTTAGAAAAATCAACTGGACTTCATCACTTCTGATGAAGCCTCTTGGATGAGAGGTGAAACATCTTCGACCTAAGAACCTAGTCGAGTTGATTTTTCTAAGTTTTTTCAGCTTACTATGACCTGGATGATTGAGAATCTACACGGAAATGTTGCTAATCATTGTGAATATAAAATAATGATAATAATAGAATAAACTATGTATAATGGCACTTGAAAAAGTGTCAAAGCAGAAAGATTTATGAGTAATTAACAGTGCAGTGCAATTAGGATATTCAATGACTTTCATTCATTCAAACTAGTCTAGTCCAATTTAGTTAGTACCTTTCCCTCTATATATTAGCAAGTACAATAATTTTGACATTAATGGATTTGGTATGTAGCAGCAAACATGCAAATGTATTCATAATGTAATGCATACACAGAAATGTAGTATACAATATATACAGGATACCATATGTCATCTTTTTCCTGTTGAAAATGACATATTTTTAGTCAGTGTCTGCTGTCAGCATAGTGTGCTATGGTGCAAACCGAATCATGTTGACTGTATGGGGCATCACTATGAACATATACTATACAGACCATTAGCTACCACCTCAGTAACTCCTCTTATCTGCACCCTATCTCAGATGGTTACACTACAGACGACATTGAGTTCTACTGGCGAGGAGGAGACAATGCTGTGACCGGGGTGGACAAGATCGAGCTACCCCAGTTCTCCATTGTGGATCATAAGCTCATCTCCAAGAATGTTGTCTTCTCCACAGGTAATATTATGAACAGATTGAAATGCATGAATCACACCAGTCATAAAAGAAACAAGTAGCTTATGGTAACTGAATGCACGAAAAACTAGATTAAGTGCTGTCCTGGGAGACAAAAGGTGCCATGGTATCTGCATATTCATGAATTTGTCAAGTAATCGAGTAATTGTAAGCCGGACCATGGTTGTTTGATGAATACAGTTAATATGGTAGCTACTGTATTGAACAGCAAAACATTAATACAGTAAGAACAATGAGAGCTTGTTTTGTCTGCAGGGATCACACATTCCATTAAACCTTATTAACATAATATTTACTGATATATGTGTGTGCTAAGTGAACCCAAGTGTGTTACTGCAGTGTGCTGGATTTGCATACATTATACAAAGGTGGGGGATTCCCTCTAACTGTCTATCGCAATATGGAAGGTCCCGTCTCTGTGTCACACAGAAATGCAAACATCGACACAAATGCGTGGCCATTTATCAACTGAAAAGTGTCATATGTTAAACCTCAAGGACAAGCAATGTTGCTATTGTCCTTGTGATTAATAAATATTCCTTGTTGCCCCTCCCATTAAGGTGTTTCCTCACTTTTTAATAGAATAAGTCATTGATTCTCTCTGTGGCTCATGCTCATGTTAGCTAACAGACATAGCAGAGCCTGGTAGATTGTTCATACTTAAACTATAACTGCACTGTATTCCAGCTGTTCTTGTGGTACATTTCCTCATCCAGCTGTGATTTAAACTAAAATACATCCAGCTCTCTGTGGAGAAAGGTGAGAGTGTTGATACAGTTTACCCTTACCAAAATCCTGCTCTGGGCCTATTTATAATACAGCAGAGATAGGCAAAAAAAAAAAAGACCCTCCGCAGGCGAACTATCAAACCTCTATTGTGCAAAAACACAGGCAGTGGAGAACAGATTATTCTGGAGAGTGCTGATGCTTCAGTTCAGCGGAGATAACAATTTAACCATACTTTTACCATAGGGCTGGTAGGTCAGAATTCATCATAGATTTTTGACAAATGACCAACTTTCTTGTTTGGGTAGGAAGGCTTGCTATCTGAACCTATGCTGAGGTCTGTGGATGTCCCAAAATATACACTGTAAAGGACAATTCTGTCTAAAATAAGCATAAGCATAATCTTCCCCCTTCCCCTCTCTGCAGGTGCTTACCCTCGTCTGTCCCTGAGCTTTAAGCTGAAGAGAAACATTGGGTACTTCATCCTGCAGACATACATGCCTTCCATCCTTATCACCATCCTCTCCTGGGTCTCGTTCTGGATCAACTATGACGCTTCTGCTGCCAGAGTGGCTCTAGGTGATGCCTGCTATACATGTATACAATACAGACGTAGACAGGATACATGAAAATAGGGGTGGATACTTCAGGGAAATTCAGGACAACACTGTGTACTGAAGTTTCTCCTTCCTACAGTCACATTATTAATTTGAAGAGCAAATACCTGTAGAGACATGCTGAGGAAACACTGGAAGGGATTAAATGAGCAAAAATAAATTATAAATCATGTTTTACATTAGCTCAGAAGGGGAAATCTGTCACCAATCTAAACACTGAATGTACATACTGTAAGGGCCAAGACTGAATTTTGTGGAGTTCTTGAAGCTTTTCTTCATATCTTAGATGTACTTATAATTTTATGAATTCATTTATGAAGCATTGTGTTTGGTGTCATTATTAGTTCTAGACTTGAACCTTACAGAAAATGACTACTGCACTGATCCATAACCACACTGTGATCCGTTTCTTTTACAGTCACTGTGGGTGTTAACAGGTTCAGATATTCATTCCAGTACAACAGGTGTCGGTTTAGCCCACAGATGTAATACAGTATGATGGATGACCAGGCTGATTTGGTTCCACTCTGATTCAAGCGACTCTGTGCTGTTCTGGAAGTCACAATTCCCCCTCCCGTCATCCTATTTATGTAACATTGATGTAGCCTGTGAGGTTTGTATTAACCTTCTAGCTTACTCTGTGTTTATCTGAAGTTCCGTCTTCTTTCTACCCAATTCCATCCATCCAACCACTTCATCCATCCTTCTACCCTCTCTGTCGCTTTAGTCGACAAGGCAATTTCACTGATTGACGACTGAGCTGTATTTAGTGATCCAGGGGGAAGGCATGCGTGGGATTTAATGAAAGAAAGGTAATGCTCTATAATGGAGATGGGTCAGCAGGGTTGGGAAATGTTCGGTCACCCCCCCAATCTACACTAAATTCAGATCCCACTTTACTTTGACCTGGTTTCAGGCATTAACATGGACCTGTAATGGTTGATTCACATGGCCGCTGTGCTACAGAAATTCTTTGTTGTTATTGTTAAGCTCTTGAAGTAACTGCTTGGGAAAATTGCCTGAATTTTATTTTGAGTGGTGGTCACCTGACAGCTTTGTGACAGCTTTATAATGATTTAGTCATTGTTTACTGAGACTCTTACTACTTATTACTTACTACTTACGTACTACTTACTACTCTTGCCTGAAATAATCTTGGTGTGTGTGCTTTCAAAGAAGAATGTTCAGCTGCATGTAATAAGATTTGCAAGTACTATAGGGGCTGAAAAACACATATTTAATCTTTCATTGAAAACCATATTTGATCTTTAGAATCTGCCTTCTCATGCCATTTATGATTCTTGCACATAGATAATACCAGAAATATACGCTATACATTCATGAGCCAGTGCTTAACAAAAAAATGACAAAAATATGAAATTACTGCTACTAGTAAGAGTTACTTTGCTGCATATAATGAGCACAAACCCCACACAGCAGTTTTACAGTAACTACCCTCATCCCTTTAGATTGTTGGGTTAGGCTTCTGCCAGCTTTTCTTGGCAGGAGTTCTCCTCTAATGAACAAGACCAAGGTTGACATTTGAATTTCAAATTGTTGCACCTGCTTCAGGTGCACATCTTTTAGCTTTGCTTTCAGGGCATGGTTTAAAGATATGGAGGAAAGTCCCTCACTTTCACTGATCCTTGACAGGCTTCTCCAAGACTAGACATGGTATTACATTATGTAAGAATCTGGTTTTATAGAAGGAAATTTGTCAGCATGATCTACATTTTCATTTTATTTATTGTGTTTATTATTCTAAATACAGTCTTTCTCTACCAGGTATTACCACGGTGCTCACCATGACTACCATTAACACCCACCTACGAGAAACCCTTCCCAAAATCCCCTATGTCAAGGCCATAGACATGTACCTCATGGGCTGCTTTGTATTTGTCTTCCTGGCTTTGCTGGAGTACGCTTTGGTAAATTACATCTTCTTTGGACGGGGCCCTCAGCGTCAGAAAAAGGCAGCTGAGAAGGCAACTACAGCAAACAATGAGAAGATGAGGATGGATCCAAACAAGGTAAGAATGCCTTAGCTTGTCTTTGTTGTTTGTAGACTTGCATTTTATTTTCTATTACATTTGACCCAAATTCAGATTTTTTTTCTTTCAGAAATACTGCTTCACTTATGCAGAGAAATCTTCATATACACATCTAGCAGTTTCTCTGCTCCACAGTTACATCACCACATATTTTCTTTACTTTGCAGTTGAAATTTTATTTAATTATTCATAAAGCTGTCAAAGGAGCACAGAATAATTACCAGCAAAGAAAAGAAATGTCACCACTTCAAATGGAGGGCTGACCTAATGTTTCCTGCCTTCAGTGTGCCAAGTACATCCAGACTAATAAGCTTGTACTCTCCTTGTTTGAAATCCAAATGTGACACATTGCCAGCAGAGACAAAGGGAAAGGAGGCCTCTGAGTTACTTAGCTCTTTGTCTTGTGTTCACCTTCCCATTTTGTGCTCCCAGCTGAAATGAACCAAACACTTACTAGCAGAGAAGTAAAATGGCCACCATAACATGGATGCACATGGACAAGCTGATATCATTTCAGTACAAAACACTGGCTGAAACTGAGCAGAAAAAAGTTGCATTAATAACCTATGACATCAAGTGAAGGCACAAGAGGAGGGTAAACTGTACTTCAAAGTCCTCTGATAAAAGTGTGCTTTGTTACCTTTTTAAGTGCAAGACTAAAAATTATGTAGCTCATGTCCACAACTAATAATTACTCATAATTCATTGTGAACCCATGGATTTAATTATTTTTATGAAATGTATATTAGTCCCAACTTATACCTACCTACACAAAGGCAAACTGCTTCTACTGTATTTGAGTTGTTCAAGTAACCATGGCAATTATGTTTGCTTGCAGTGGCTGGTGGGTAATGTCGTTGGAAGAGATGATACTCTGTACGCACGAATGAAACAAAGAGATCTTGATGGTCATGATTCTATGTGGGAGCCAATCTTTGTTGATGATGCAGCAATTGGACTTGGAGATCAAAAAAATAAGGTATGCAAAAACATATTTGAAAAATGTCAAACATATATAAACTAACTGACACTGCAGTATTAATTTTAAATTATTAATTATTAATTAATTATTAAAATTTAAAACACAGTATTGGCATATCTTCACCATAGATATAAATCTGATGTAGCATTAGCAAATAGTTGCCTTTTTTAACAATAGCATTTTGGAGTTGTGTTTATGTCTGCATGGACAATATGCTGTAAGTTCTCCTTTTAGCTTTGGTTTGGTTTCTACTGACTCCTGAGGGAAATATTTAGCTAGCTTCTACATGTTTCATTGTGCTTACCAGGTAGTCACTAACTTTGTCGGTCAGCTCTTTGTTGCTCAGTAAAACCAAAACAATGAGCTGAAAGGTGTTAAAACACTTTAATAAAAATGTGATTTAGAAAAAAAACAATGCTGTTTTCTTATTTAATACACTAGATAAACCTGACTCTATTCCTTGGGCAGATGGACCCACATGAAAACATCCTTCTGGGCACCTTGGACATCAAGAACGACATGGGCGTTTCAGAGCTGGCTCTGGGTCTCAATGACCCACGAAATACCATACTCACATATGACAGTTCAGCTCTACAGTATCGCAAAGCAGGGCTGACCAGGCACAACTTTGGCCGAAATGCGCTCGAGCGGCACATGACTCAAAAGAAGAGCCGTCTACGGAGGCGCGCTTCACAGCTAAAGATCACCATCCCAGACTTGACTGATGTAAACTCTATTGACAAATGGTCGAGGATGATCTTCCCAACAGTTTTTTCCTTCTTCAACATTGTTTACTGGCTTTACTATGTCAATTAAAAAGAAGGACATCAGTGTGGGTAACGGCAAAATATGTTGTTCATGTCTTGTTTGTGTCTGGTTTGTTTAATCTTCATGTGATCTTATAACACTGGACTGAATAATATTTCCAATCCTGAAATATATATTCAGGACTGGATCCATCATACAGTATCTTGGAATACCACAGTTGGAATACCGCAGTTGGAATACCATATGAAAACATTATCGAAAACAGATATATTACAATCATAAGGTGCCTGACACTACAACATTTTTCAGATTTCGTGAATTATGTATCTTACTATTTTTTAAAACTGTATATTTTCATATTTTTGGCTTTATTATGATTCACAGTATACATAAATCATAGCCAAAATCAGTTACCTACATACAAATCACACGTTGACAATGGTTTGCTTTCACTGACACAGCTTTAAAGTAAGTAAGAAGCAAGTTTTAAATCAACAGAGTTCAATTACGTATGTCACAGAAACAAAATCTGTTGTTTCAGTATTAGAATAAATTTCATACCAGTACAAAAAGGGCCTAAAGCTCACAATTTACAGTATAATGTAATGTGAGCACTATATAAAGTAATTTATTTCTCTGCTAATAGACTATTTTGATAAGATGGCATTATGTAATTTCAGCTAAACTCTTTTCAAAACATCTAGGTTTTATTTCAGATTCCATTCACGAAGCCTGCTGATGGTGAAAAATGGCACATTGTTTAGAAGCATTAAAGTAATATAGTCAATTTGGATTGTCATCACTGCTCTGTCTACTTTGTCAAACTGTTGAAAGAGAGTAAAAATACAGAGAGAATATGCAAGAAGGGCCATATAAACTGTCTTTAGCCAAATTGACTTTACTTGTATATTAAGATTGGATTTTATCCCAAAGCTTATATACATAGTCTGTTTATCCTTGGGATTGATTGAATGTGATGAAGGTAGTTTAGTCTTTAAACACCTGTAAATATCACCTGTATAGCATTTACTAATGTGAAAATATGATTTACAAAACTCCCTTTTCAGCTGTAATCTGACTTTCTTAAATGCATATTTTGCTGAAAAGACACTATTAGCTATAACAATTTTTTTTTTCATGGTTCAAGAAGAATACAGGCAGCAAACTTAAAAAGTCTCTACTGGTCCACAAAAAGACCAGAATGCACAAAAATCATCAATCAACAGGTTATGACACCATTATTTTAATATTAGTACTTTTATGCAGATGATTGTTCTTTTAGTTTCTAATGTTTATTTCCCATCTCTGCCTCGCAAGGCCAATTATTATAATTATAATTGTGCATTATTCCCAGATTTAAAAATGGGTTGATTACTGTAAAGGACATAGGTAAATCCAAAATCAGTATACAGTATAATAACAGTTTATTTACTAACAATGCTGTGCATTTGACTTTATGTACACAAGGTAGATTTTATAAAAAGATTTTGCACACAAGTTCTTAAAAGCCATAGAGGCTGTACCATAGTTTATCTAATAAGTGGTGCTTATGGGGCCTGTTTTAAATAGAACGCTATTAATAGGATTATGAGTACACTCAATGTTTTAGTTACAACAAGGCTAAATTGTGGAAATACAACTGAGGCTGGAATACACAAGTGTTGAAGCCTCCTCCCCAGAGATTTGCCACACTGTGTGTATGAATGAACTGTGATGTTCGGGCCTCCTCTCTGCATAAACACCAAATCATTCATCAAAGAGTGAAATGTAAACTGTCACTGGGAGTTCAAACATAAAAAGTTGGTTAGAGTTGCAGTGAGTGACAAAAACTTGCGCAGCATGTGAAATTGCAGCTATGTGAACACTGAAAGGAAATGGGGGTAACTCCAAATCTTGTCTAAAAAAAAAAAAAAAAAAAATCACTAAAATGAAAACTATTAACCAGAGCCTGTGTCTTCTCTGTCTCACATGCTACTGTTGAGTTCACCTGAAACATGAAAGATCTACCACAGACAGATCATATAGCCACATGCAATTATGTCTCACTGCATGCTCTGTACAGTAGTGAGTACTTGATATTCTGGTTTTCATCACTCTTGGAATTGTTTAATTTAACTTCTGTGTTTAAGTCACTTCAGATAACAATAGATACAAATGTACAGTAATTAAAATGTTAGATTGAAAAAGAAATGTATCTTTGATTGGTTTTGCAAATATTTTGCAAATACTCGTGATATCATAAATATTTATATGATGCATTTTCACAAGCACTGCCCAATAACTGACATGTAAACTGTGAATAATGTGCATGCATCTAACTTAGACTACAGTTTGAACCTTGGGCTTTCACCTCACTGGTGTTTATCAAAATTAATCATCATGATCTACATGTTGAAAACATAATGAGTAGAATGTTATCTTTTGGGTTTTTAGATAGTTCCCGCTACTGTAACATTCTTGTCATCCTTCTTGTTTTAATTTTATTTTTCTTTTAAATTATTTTTTGTAAATAAGTTTAAAAACCATATACATAAAGGGGTCCAAATAGATTTTGAATTCTATAAAAACTGATCATTGGCATTGTAAATGTTTCTATAGATGAGGATGAGCTGAACTCACATTTGGGATCAGATGCCAAAAAAACATGTTTAAATAAGTATGTATATATTAGATAGTATATTATTAGTCATTAATTGGAACATATTATTCATGTAAATAAATACCTACATGTATGCGCTTTCTACAAAAAAGACAAAAAGAACCTTTTCAATATCATTTATATTGTAACATTAAGAGAATGCAAAAGCTGATGCGAGTTGGTGTAATTTATTTTACAGTGTCAATCACTTTTTCTTTCTGTTTGCTCTGTCTGTCAAAGCAGCTTTCTTTGGTTTGCCAAAATGAAAACACATATTTATGAATGTAGTTGATATTCTTCTGCAGCATGTATTTGCTGTAATGTGTCAGCAAACGTAAAACAATTTCTAGCACCAGTGATCAGCTAAATAAAGTTTAATATACACCACCTTTTCAAACACAAACACACACACACACACTCGTACTTCTGTCTTTGTTAGGGCACTCACTGACATAATCCATTACCCCCCCCCCCACACACACACACACACATATACACGCAAAGGATGATAAACAGGCTAGAAGCCAAAATTCTGCCATCTCAGGTCAGCACAGCTCACACTAGTAAGTAGAGTACAAACACAAACTACAACTTCAAACCCAAGAATTGTACTTCTGTAAGGAAAACTACCTTAGTGAGCTTGTTTCAAATATTTCTTTCTAAGTTTAGCGTGTAGTTTCCTTTCACTGTTTAGTACAACTTGCATTAAACCATACACAGTATTCATTAATAGTACTGACACAGTTTTTCAGCATAGGTAGAATCTTAAAATCAAAAATATCATTAAGGTATTAAATGCACTTCAGCCATAGGCAAATCTCAAACTACTCAACCTAAATATATTATTATTCTTGAGAATAATACTGTACATGTAATGACATTGTGTATCAGAGTGTGAAAGTGCGTAGTGGGTGTATGTTTCCAGAGCATACAGGCAACTGGTAAGAAAGGCCTGCTTCCTAAGTTCTACACTTGTAAACATGTGTTTGTACTTTACAGCACTTTTTTTAAAATATATTTTTATACTTCTATACTCCTGTGTAAAAAAAAAAATGCAAATACTGTTGTTTGGCGAAACCTTATAAATCCAATTTTGGCAATGTTCACATTTATACTATACAGAATTATTTCATTGTCCTCTGGGGGTTTGGAAAACTTAGTGACATTTATGCTATGAAATCCTTTCATATAATCCCTCATGTAAAGTTTAAAATGGTTGTAAATTGCTTGAAAATGGCTTTTTGCTTCATTCCTTGAAAGTTATGTTTTTTTTTTTTAATATAAGGTTTTCATCAGACAGTTGAGCCTGACAACCTAAAAGCCTATATGACTCATCTTAGTGATAGTGTATGTTTGCGCACACTCACAGAAGAAGCCTTAGCCTCCTGCTGCCCTGGACTTCATGCCAAGCAGCATCAATCTTTCCTACCATCTCAACACCTTCAATCTTGAAAAATCCTTGTATGTGCCACTGACGAGAACATTCCCAGAGCTGTACCCTTCTTAAAGGTTAATCCTGTAAAGGTCAGTGTCTGTCTTTACTATGAAAACCTATGGAAATCAGTACATTGTCAATAAATATTGTATACATATCTAAATTGCTGTTGAGTGTTTATTTGGACTTAATTTGAAGAAAGAGAGAGACTAAAGGAAATTGTATTTTTTGATGGATGTGAATTCACACCAACCATGTTTACCAGTTTATCCAAAGTTGGATGAATTCCCTGATAAAATGTGGTTTATGTGAACATTCTTTGCTCACCACATCACCTGAGTGAGACCACATGTATGCAGACTCGTGTTAACAATCAATATTTCATTAGGCTTGAAAACCAGCACATAACACGAGTCATTTGGGTCTATTCAAGGTTCTAGCTTATACACAGCTATTTAGCTTATACTTCTTTATTCTATAGGCAGTGGTAGTTTCTCTGATCTTTACCACGGCCTAAAGGTCAGAGAAGTGAGCTTGTGACCAGAAGATCGCCTGTTCAATCTCTGGACCAGCAGGGTTAGCATTGTATACCCCACCCCAACTTCTACAGTGGAGCTGGCCAGCAGCCACAGGGCAGTCTGTGGTTGCACTGGACAGCTTCCAGGTGTGCATCCCCGAAATATAGAGGTGGCATCTCAGTGGACCCATCCTGATTAAATAAAGTAAAAAAAAAAAAAAAAGAAAAAGAAAAAAAATGTACAGGTAATTATTAATCTGTATAGCTGGTACAAATATCACAAAACATAAATCATAGTTAGAGTTACTAGGATATCAGCCCCCTAACACCATTATTATTTCCACTAATTTATGAGGAAGGATTACAAATCCTCTACTTAGATAAGCCTGCATTAAATGGGAAATCCGGGTGGGCGGGGCTGACCTTTGACATTTCCATTAACAAGTTTGTGTGCGCTCGCGCCTGTAAAGTGTCTCCAGGAGTAGACTTTTCTAAGTATTTCGACTTTGTTGTGAAATAAAAAACGTGGCAGCTACTGAAGAAGACGATTAACATGCTAAAGAAAGTAGCCATGACAGTATGTGTAAAGAAACCGCGGTTGGAAGCGGAAGAAGTGCGCGAAATATATATTATTAGCTGCTGCTCGTCGTCACTCGTATCAGTCTTTATTGCTCTTCTGAACAACCTGGAGTTATTGTCACTGGAACATGAACTGAAAGACACACTGGATTATGTTGAAATAATTTCCATGCTCAACTCCTAACCATGCCACCTGGGCTGTTGGCTGTTAGCATCCCCACCACAGACTGTCAGGTAAGAGAAAATACTACCTGTTTGGCCTCTGAATGATTGTAAATACTGCGGTCACTGAACCAGAACCAGTTTGGCTGGATGAGAAGGAATAGGATTATTTTAGTTTTAGATTGATGTTAGTTAAGCCACTGATGACTTGTATGTAGACCCTTATTATTATGTTTTAGATTTTTGCATGTTAGGTAGTCTATAGGAGATCAACATATCAGTAACTGTCAGTAACCAGTCTAATGTGGATAACTTGGTTATCCATAGAAACAAAACAGGCTCAGGCCTATCCTTGGGCAACGTGCTTGGCTCTGAGCTGAATATACAGGCAACTTGGCTGATACTGTTAGGATTGGATTTCAGGAGTTACAGTTGTTTTATTTACTGTTAGTATTATTTAGCTTTTATAATGACAGAGTTTAGTATGACTGTCTCTGTTTCATTTACAGCACCATGAATCAGTATTAACCTGGCTCTTAAAGTTATAATATTCAGCTTTGAGTCAACTTGTAGTATTTTTCATCTTCTTGGAAAATTGTGCAAGAATAGATTGCATAGATAAGTGTCGTTCTGGAAACTATAGATAAGATACTGTTAATTTATGCTACTTAACAGACGTGAAGTCTGACGGGCTTGAACTGGTCACTCATGTCTGAAGCATGAGTAAGGGGTTTTTTACAACAGAATCAGGGAAGTAAGTGACACAGCTAACTGCCTGTCCACTTTCAGTTAGAGAGAAACGCCTGAAAATAGAGAAACGCCTGAAGATAACAACACACACACACACACACACACACACACACAC